TAAATTTGATACAGTATTGTAGCTTAATTATTGGTGTTTTGCTCCTTTCATTTTCAAGCTCTGTTTAATGCAAGACTGTTATCTCTGTTCCTCAGTGTGATACAGTAACTTGCAACCATTTCACTTTTCTGAACAAATGTAGCTCTGAATTACTTTTTAGCTGATTCTTTCTGAAAGAGTTAGAATAACTGAGGGTGTACTATTTTTAAAATATGACTCTGCAGTTGGAGGGAATGCAAAATTAGAAAAGCTACAGAACTTATGACTGCTTTCTTTTGAGTCTAACTTTCAAAACCAAGTATTAGAATTCATTATTAAATGGTTTAAAACAATTAACTTCGTGGGACATCCAGGTGCTACTGTTTTCATAATTACATAGAAATCTACTGAACATACAAAGTAAGCTAGGAAAAGAGATGCATAATAACCTTGCTTGAGATGACATGTCCATTTAGGAATAGAAAAAAACTTTAGATTCTTTGTGTTAAATGTTATACATGTAAATATATAATTATGTTAAATTATCCATATTAATCTTTTGGAATTATTTGTGCCTTCCCAGATGTACACAGAAAACAATAATACACTCCCAGTTTCCATTCACCAAAAGACTTTTCATATTACCAATACCACAGGAATTGCATCTTTTATTTTTGAGTGTACTTCATTCAGCGCAGTTTAAAAAAACAAACATTTTCAATTGTGCTTTTAACCTTTCACTGAAAAGTTTTTGAACTCTTAAGAGAGAGTATCCTTGGGAAGTTAGTAGGCTGCCAAATACCACTGTGGGATTATATATTAGAAACGGACCTCCCAATATCCTGTAACTGTTACTTATGGTCTCCATCTGTAATGCGCATGTTAGTTTTTCTCATTCTCTTTCCCAGAGTTTCAGAGTTTGGATGATAAAATTTTGTCTTTGTCTTCCAGAATATAATCTTAATGCAAAACATTTACTGAATGTATCAAAATGGGATATTTATATCTATAATACCATTTTTGTATAATACCCAAGTTGAACTGGTATGTTCAGAATGTGAGAGTCTTTGGAGCATAATTTATTGTTTATACTATATACCTGCCATTTCTAGTAACACAATGGTGTATATTTTTAAGGGACCTGCAAAAAAAGAGAAAAAAAGTCCATTAGCTACTTTTTAGCCTCCTAATAACATACAAGGAAGATCTGAAATATGGAATTTTAAACATTTTTTTTTTTGTGCTTTTCATCTTAATATTAAGGATGTCAAGTGTAGTTTGTCTTGCTTTTACTGAAGGATTTCTTAGAGGTCGCACATGTACATTGTGATCCATGACCCTTAATTGAAAGGGTTGGGAGAGTTAGAGCTTTACCATTTTAATCTTTTATTCTTTTTTATCTCAACTGTCTATTCTGTTTAAGTTTAAATAGGTGTTAACAAAAACATACTCGCACTTGGTCTGATGTTAGATCTTTTAGTTCCCAAATGAACTAGTCCATGGAATCTTTCAGGGAAAAGTAGTAAGATGGACCTGAATAGAAAAGCAGAAGGGCTGGGTTTTTGTTTGTTTGCTTGTTTTTTCTGTTAAAAATAATGAAGAAACAGGGTACAAAATCCTACTCTGCTTTTTCTTTGTATTTCCCCTTGAGGAAGCAAGAGAAAACAGCATCCAGTTGCAGTGATCAGAATTCAGTTCTCTTTGAGCTAGTCCAGTATTAGCTCAGTATGCAAGGGCTGGGATGGTGGCAGCACTAAGGCATGGTTGACAGTAGGGGTGTGTGAAGTGGACCGTATTAGATTCAGATTCGGCCCAATTCAGGGGACAGTGATTCAATTCGTTGATTCAGATCACTGGTCCCTATGCAATTCAGTCGAATCCGAATCTGAAGTTTCAATTTTGATTCAGAAAATCAGCAATTTGTCCATAGACACAGCTTTAAATGTTTTTTCTATGTACCTCAATGTACCAAGTGTGGCCTGTGAACGCTGAGATGGTGGGGTGGATGGAATGTCCCACAGGAGGGCAGGGGTGCCCTGCATGCTCAGCAGGAGATC